CTTTTATACTTTAAGTAGTTTTTGGAGCACATACTTTTTCATTTTTACTTGAGTAAAGAGGTTAAGTTGATACTTCTACTTTTACCACAGTGTTTTTAAACTGCGGTATCTATACTTCTACTTAAGTAACACATGTGTTTACTTTTGACACCACTGTTAATTCCTCTATAATTTTTAAAATATTGAATCAATCCATTGTACAAGATGTACTTGAATGCACCACAAGGACTGTTAAGAAATTCTTAAATGGTGTATACGTTATCCAGCGAGAAACCATAATACTCCCAGATAGCAAAGTTTGGTGAAAACTGGGGGGCTCCTTTTTGTTTTGAGGTCACTTTTTACACCCTAATCAATATTCATTATTTTAATCAACAACACATGTTTAATGTGTGTAATTGCACGGTTAGGACACTTTTCTCATGTGGAATACTGAACCTTACCAGCCTGTTTTTTTAAGTATCACTCTACTGAGCTTTAGAACACTCTTTTAATGGCTGATGGAAAGTTATTTATTGGTCCTGCATGATTTCAGTGCCACTTCTGACACTCTAAATTAGCAAAAATATCTGTTTAGTTTTACCTACATAAACTTTGATAACTCCCAATTAGTCGTTAGACCCCTTTTTCTCAGCAACATCAACTTTAACAAGTCTGGAAACATCTTTGACAAGGTTAAGAAAAAACCAGCATTGATGCCTCTGCTCTTATTATTCCAACTGTGTTGTGGGGTCCGTGCTGGCCAGTGAAGCTTCTCCACTCTACTCTTTATGCACATCCAGCCATGGAATCATTGCACATCATTGCTTCACTGGTAAGACCTAACATTTTTGGCATTATATTGTGCTGTCAACCACACAATTCTTTTGATTAGGGTAAAGGTTCTGGCTGGTATTTTGGCTCTGCATTGGACTAATTCTTCTCAATCTGTAAGGAAACTATCCATCTTGACTTACAAACTTTATTTGGAGTCTGCACCTCCAACAAAGTGGGTCCAACAAGGGTCAGCGTTTGGTCATTTTTGATTTCGTTTTACTTAAATTTTTTTCAACCTTTTTCTGATGTCTCCTTTCTCATCTATATGCTGATGACATCCATAAATTTTTATCTTTTAATCCTCATCAGCCTGATAGGTTTCCCATCATTGTGCGGTGTTTATTTGGCATTGGGGACTGGCTCAACAGCAATACTGTGGTTTAAGTGTCAACAAAAATGAGACCCCATCACACCTTTTAACATGCACCCTCAAATTAATCAGAAAGTTGTGTCTTTATGCTCTACAACCAAATATAACGTAAAAATCTGGGGAGTTATATAGACTCATCATTAAGTTTTGAGTCCGACATAAAATAAAACATCTCTAGAATATGAGATATTGTCTCTCAATGAGATCTAGAGAAAAACACTGAAGTATTTGTGTCCTACACAGCATATTGCAATCTGCCATCCTCACTTTCCTCCAAGATCTTTATTACCTTCATAAAACAGTGAGAAATCATCAGTTTAATTGCCTTCTGTTCCGAAAGTCTTCTTCTTCTGCTAAAACGTACCTCTCTTTCTCAGTGCCACCTTGGATCCCTCCAATGCAGGCCTAAAAGAAACATTTCCTTACCTGTTTGTGTAAATTAACCTTGTTAACCTTCAATTATTTGTCGTCATCTGCAAAAAAGTTTTTACAAAACACCAACATTACAAAACACATGCATTTCCTCACAATATATATATATTTTTTTATTTTGACGGATTGTATGTTACAGACCAACACAAAGTGCAGTAAATCTTTAAGGTTGAACAATGTCCCCATGTGTATTGAGCCCTATATGTTAATAGTTCTTTGAACCACCCAGCTTTCTTCACCAAAGGATGTGAATCTTTGTCCCAATGTTAATATATCTAGAAAAGATTCACTTTTGTACCCCCTAACAAGGCTTTTTTGGGATGGCCGTGTAATATGTTCTTTCTCCTACATCAGTCTTAATGGCTTTCCTGTTTTTATTGTGGAAAAGCTTTCTCACAGAATGAGACCACCAATATCGTGTTTTATGGTAGGGATGCTGTGTTACCGTTTTAGTTTTTCTCCAGACCTGGCATTTTGTATGCAGGTCAGAAGATACATTTTACTGTCATCTGACCCTTTTTGAAAATGTTTGCTGAATCTCTATATGGCAACCTTATCAAAATCTATCAATTTTCAAGCTTTCCCTGATCCAGGATATGGTTCCAGTGATGTGGAAGGCTTTCTGCCTTGCTCTGGTACCAAAGAAAACTTAGCCAACAGTCCTCAAGAACTGTAGACCTTATGCCCGACATCCCACATCAAGGTCCTACAGAGGAAACAAGCGGTTATTAGGACTCCCCGCAGTTTGCCTGTCGCCAAACGATTTGGAGTTGAAGATGTCATCATACTCCTGCTTCAATAAACCCACAGATATTTTGACAAGGCAGTAAGCACTATAAGGATGATTTTTTTTATTTAATTTCTCCAGTGCATTTAACACAATTCAGCCTGACTTATTTTGTGAGAAACTATAGAAGACTTAGATGGAGGCATCAACAGCTGCCTATCAACCTGACATATAGACTACAGTTCTAGAGACTGAAAGGTCAACTGTCCAATCAAGCACCACAGGGTAGAGTACTCTCCCTATTCAATTTCACTTTCACAAACTTTCAGTACAAAGAGACAGAGTCCTGTCATCTACAGAAACACTTGGATGACTGTACAGTTGTTGGGTGCGTCAAAAATGGGCAAGAAGCTAAGTACAGAAAGCTGGTGAACAGCTTTGTGGCACGGTTTGGAAACAATCATCTGATCCTGAATGTTAACAAAACAAGAGACATGATTGTTGAATTTAGAAGAAACAGGAACAAGAAGAATGCTATCATCATCAAAAGAGAAGAAGTGGTGATGGTGGATGAGTATAAACTCTTTAGTATTCACCTGGAAAACAAACGTGACTGCTTGAAGATGCTTGAAGATGCAACTGTGAAGTCATCTGCAAAGAAGGACAGAGTAGACTTTATTTCCCCAGGAAGCTTAGGTCCTATGTCATTTACAGCAAGATGCTACATATCTTCTAAAGGTCTGTTGTGGAGATTGTTCTACCATCATCTGATGGGTTAAAAGCATCAAAGCAAATTATTGAGATAATCAACAATGATAAAGAAGGCCCGATCTGTTATACAAACTCCTCTAGAACCTCTTGAGGTGATTTCATAAAGAAGAATTCTTCATAAAATAGAAAATATGGAAAACTGAGCACCCTCTTCAGACGATTTTTAAACAGCAACTCCTCAGTCAAATTCTTCCCCAGATCACTAAAAGACAGGCTGATATAGAAGATCCCTCCTGCCTAAAGCTGTTGAATTGAATAACACAGGAGTTTAGCAGGATTAGATTTGAGTCATTTGAAAATGGTTAAAAATGTGCCTCTAAACAAGTTACAGAACCCCTTTAAATGCATTACAAAGTGTTATAGTTATTTTTCTTATTAAATGCAACTAATTGGGTTAGATAAATGCTTCTAATAAAACACCTGACCTAGTCTTGGACCTTTGAAATCAAAATTAGTCTACATTGTTCCTGCTCATTCCAGTGAACTCTCTGCTCATCACTGAATAGCTGTTCAATGAAGGTACCCCCATTGTACATTTCAATCTTTGTCCTACTGTACATTGAAAGCCGTTATTCACATACAGTTCAACAAGCTTTTGAGTCAGAGTAAGAGAATATGTGTGGTCAGCCCATTCTGTCCTTTTCCTGCTCAAAAGACACGATAACAACCAGCAACAAGCTCCACATGAAAAAATGTGCATCGTGTCCTCTGGTATTTATCCAGCTCTGGATATAAAACGCTCCAGGTAAGCATCAAGGAAATTATTGCTTAAATGTTGAACAAATCTGGAGTCAATATGATATTTTCAGCTAATTTCAACCTGACAGCATGTTGAATTATTCCAATTAACCAGCAGGGGTTTAATTAATATGCTAAATACGCTAAATTTTGATATTAATCTAACTCATCCTTCTTCAACATTTGTGAAAATGAGAAAATGGGCTTAATTATGTGAAAGTGGGGGTTATGGGTCTTTTAAAGGGATCTTTGTGAAATGCCAATGTAAAAAGATTGCACTGGAGTAGAACCGTGACCCAGATGTGTATCAAAGTAATTAAAATTGGGAAATCACAACCAACGGTCATATATTGATATCTATGTATATAGAAGTGCAAATTTTTAAGCAAACGTATTCATAAATTTTTAGCAAAATCATCCTTTAATATGATTTTCTTTTTATTTAGCTCAATTTATGATCTTGAGAACTCACACTTATGGATTTGTTGTCACAAGTGCATTGGCATTTGTGCTCTGTTTGCTTAGATGGTGATAGATGTCGGAAAATTTGATGTAGGAAGGGACTAAATGTAATGCTGTGTTCACAAGAAACTCTGGAAAACAACCTTTTATATATAGAAAAAAAATGTTTTCCCAGCTCTAACACTAGCAGATGAAGTTATGTCAAGCTTTCCTTTATCCCTCTGAGGGTAACTTTCAAACTTAACATATGATCATCTGGAATGTTTGTAAAGTTGTTCTTTGCATAATTACATTCTGTTTGGGTCAGCAGGAGGCCTCAGTCAGTCTATAGCGGGTATGCCCGATGTAAGATCCCAAAGTTTGTCCTTGAGGGCTGCTGTCCTGCAGGTTTTAGAGGTTCCCCTGTTCCAGCACAGCTGATTTTTATTGATGGCTGATTAACAGGCTTTTGCTGACTTGCAATCATCAGATTAAGCTGTGCTAAAACAGGAAGCATCAAAAACCTGCAGGACAGCCGCCCTCGAGGACCGACTTTGAGCATGCCTGGTGACCTTTGTCAGAGGCTTCTTCAGGCTTGCTGTAATGCAGACTACTAGAAGAGATTCTTCCTACCCACAGCAATCACTAAATGTGATACATTGACTCTATTTGAAGCAGCTTATACAGTTGGAGGTTCTACATCAGATCATTTACTGACTACATACATTCTTTTATCCATTGTGTGTCTTTAGAAATGGGGGACTGGTCCATCCTTGGTCGGTTTCTGACTGAAGTTCAAAACCACTCAACAGTCATTGGCAAGATTTGGCTGACGATGCTGCTCATCTTCCGCATCATGCTCGTGGCCCTTGTTGGGGATGCCGTCTACAGCGATGAGCAATCCAAGTTTACCTGCAACACCCTGCAGCCTGGTTGCAACAACGTCTGCTATGACACGTTTGCCCCCGTTTCCCACTTGCGCTTTTGGGTTTTTCAGATTATCCTTGTATCCACTCCGTCAATTTTCTACATAGTGTATGTCTTGCAAAAGGTTACCAAGAATGACAGAGTGGGGGTCAGGAAGGTTAATTCAATGCCCAATGACACTCCTTTGGTTGAACCAAAAAGCCCTTTGAGAAGAGATAAAGACATGGTGCTGGATGCTGGTAGTCCTTATGATAACATTTCTGCAGACGAAGACTGGAGCTCGCAGGAAGATGAGTATGAAGAAAGGAACCAACTGGAAGGGGAAATAAAAGATGTAGGGGAGGACCCAACTCAACTCTCAAGTAAAGTGCTACTTATTTACATCCTACATGTGCTTCTGCGCTCCATCATGGAGATAGTCTTCCTCATCGGGCAGTATTACCTTTTCGGATTCGAAGTCCCACACCTTTTTCGCTGTGAGACTTACCCGTGTCCGAACAGAACCGACTGCTTTGTGTCTCGAGCGACGGAAAAGACCATCTTTCTTAACTTCATGTTCAGTGTCAGTCTGGGTTGCTTCGTGCTGAACATCGTGGAGCTGCATTATTTGGGTTGGATCTACATCTTCAGAGTGCTGTTCTCTGCATGCTGCACATGTTGTGACACTGAAAGGGAATCCGTGCAGCAGGTGGCTTTGTACTCTTATAGCAACCCGCTGTTGCTTGAGCTCAAGCACTCTTTGTGGGGTAGAGTCATCCTGCAGACCCCTGCACCTGCATCTACCGGGTCCATAAAGGAGATCGATGGGACCTGGTTTGGGTCCAACCAGGTTCCATCGATCTCCTTTGAGGCAGACTCGACTCTGGAGTGCACTTCGACAAGAAATTTAGATGAAAGGGAACACAGCAAGGCTAGGATACACCGTGTAGCCAAAATAGGACAGGGAATGAAATCATGGCTGTGAATTTCTCTCTAAGTTTTTCAGTCTAGTTCCTTTTTTTTTTCCATTTTACTTTTTGACTTTAAAAAATAATTTGTAAATAAACTGTTTGAGACATGAGGGCGAAACAAATTGTATAGATTCTTTGTACAGAGCCCATCCCCTATTTCTAACACCTCTGGTCTTTTGCACTAGTATATCATACTGAAAAAAAAAGAGAAATTTAATAATTTTATGAGTAGCAAGTCTGATAGGATTGTTCTGAGTTTCTAGGAACCTCTTTTTAGTTATCTGTGACTCCTTGTTGCATAAACATGACAGGTTTTCTGTTATGCTGTCACAACAGAAACATGTGGAAGTACCTAAACATTACATACAGTAGATCTGTGATATTGAGGACTTTCAAAATATCAAGCACTGTTAAATAAAATCATAGTGCTCTAAAAGAACTCAATTATCGCATAAAGATCCCCTCTTTGTATGGTAAATCCTTGTTAAATCTTATAGGAGAACTCAAATCATCCCCCCAAGCTGGAAATAAGGGACTAAACAAAGATCTAACAGAATGGGCATCAGAAATTATGTCAGCAGTAATTTAGCGAAAATTTATATTTCTTGATCTTGGAATTTCTTTTTACAATTCACCTAAATTGAATATTCATTATTGGTGTCAAATATTTCGTTTGAGATCATGGAACTGAAATGGAAGCTGTTTTGAAATTTGCTTTATTTTTAAGGTCTTTGCACATTTCTACTGAATGAATAAATTTGTTTCCCAAAAACACACACAGACACACATATCTCTTCTCTGTATTTGCATTTCGTTTTAAAAACAACATCACAACTAAAGTACTTTTGCCTTGTTTGCAATGAACAGATTAAATTTCTAACTTGCTTTACTTTTACGTGCACGAGCTGTTGATTGAGAGTAGGTTTTCATTAAATCTTTTTGCTGTATAATAGCTGTGCTTGCTGTGACATTTGAAGAATTAGTTTATCTATGAACTTAAACAACTATTACTGCAGAAAGTTCTATACATACTTTGGCTGTTTCCAATAAAAAAGATGTTAATTCATACTTTGCATTTGCTATTTGCTGTAACAAATCAAATTTAGGAGAAGAGAAAATTATTATCTTGTACTCGTAAAATACCTTTTTCCCTTTCCAGATAGGCATATCTGATGTTTCTTTATTCTTTAAAGTACCAATGTCTCATGCTATATTAGATCATGAGAACAAAAAGAAAATATCTCAAATAATGTACCACCAGCAACAATAATGCAACCATAAAGAAAAATACTCATGTTATGTAAAACATTTAATCTGTAGAACAAATCATGGTTGATTATTAGGGGAAAATCGATAAGCACATTCTCTCATGTTCTGGTAAATAGAGGACAGTCCAGGAGGGGTCACTGCTCTCCAGTGTGCAAAGCGTTGCCTTCACGAGCAAATGGAAATACTATTATTAAATCCAATTTAAAATTGGACGATCCACAAATATTGATGTTGTCCTTTAAGATCAAAAACAGTTGCTCCTGTTTGCTATCAAGAAACTGTCTGCTCAGTAAAACTTAATTTTATTTTAATTTCTTTAATTTTTTTAAAATGTTTCGTTTTTATATCATCCAAATTTGTTCATTTTTTTATATGTGGGGAAATTATTGATTAATTTAGGACCTGAAAATGTCATAACGATAACGACATGTCAGGGTGAGACTACTGGGTCCATTTAGATTCCCGGGATTGTTTACGTCATATCCTAGTTATAGAAATTCCGAGCTTACGGCTGGTACGTGAAGGTATCATTAGTACATTCCCGCACCTACTGACAATTAGGGAGAAAAAAAAGAAAAAAAAACATGCCGAAAACTTCTGGTACTACGCTGTCACCTGAGAGCAGGCCCAGGTAGGTTGTTATTATACATTGTAACAGCATTTAACCTTTTTTTTTATTTCCATAAGTGACATTTTTTACTCTCAGCTGATAAGGGTTTCCTTTTAAAGTCAGTGTTTGGAGAATGAGGGCAAAGCAGCTTAAAGGGAGAGCATTATGGCCAAGCCGAGCACAAACAGGCGACACATGATGTGGAGACTATGATAAAACGCTATAAAAGGACAATTGTTACTTTATCGAATTATAAAACGCTTTTAAATATTCTCCTTCTCCGTTTCACTGCAACCTTGACCTTAAAAAAATTACTATTAAATATGGGAGGGGTTTATGTTATGTTTGTTTATGTTTATTCAAAACAAACAGCAGATCTATAAACGTTAAATGTAGCCTGGTGCATCAGTTTAGGGTGAGGCTGACAGTTTGAGAGCGCGTTTATCTAGGGCAACTTCAGATAAACTGTGCCACAGATGTTTAAATGTAGAAACCAGAGAGAATTAACCCCCCCTCCCACCTCTTTTTAATGTCATTCCTAATTAATAGTATTTGTCTCCTTAAAGTAAACATGGACATGAAGGTGTCATTGTGTGCTGTCTGGTAAATTGGACTCATGTTGAGATCTAGATGTTGTTAAAATTCAAATGTATTGCTCACAGTGTCCTACAATGGTATTCATGAGGAGGTTTTTCACGTTTTTCCTTTGCTTTATAATGTTTTATTGGGATTTTATGGGCTATAAATACTAGATTCTTCAAGTAAAATGATTTTTAATGTGTTATTTATTTTTTCACAAATAGAAATTGAGAAAATAAACTACTGCATTCGTTTAAAACTAACCCAGCCAGCAGATATACTGTCTTTTTTTGTAGTTAAATATAGCAGTTCGGTAAAAAGCCATAGAAATTCATCAGATTATTAAATGCAAACCATGACATGAATATTGAGAAACATCGCAAAAGTTTAGATGTTGAAAGTCAAGTTGGGTTCCAAAGAATATCCAAGCTTAAAATAAAATAATTTATTATCTGGAAATGAAAAGAACAGGGTACAACTTTAAACCAACCTAGACATGGCTGTTCATCAGAACTGACAGGTCAGGCAGGGATAACTTTATTCAGACAAGCAGTCAGGAGGCTCATGGAAAGCAGTTGCAATGATTCAAAGCTCAGGTTGCAGAAGCTGTTGACAGGACAGTAATTGAACGTGTACTTTTTTTGTCTTGGCTAACCATGCCAAGATAAAAAGGTTAGGTTGAAAGTTTCTTATAGTGGGGGTACACATTATGCATGTCAAAAAAGATCAAAAAGCTCAGACCAGGGGTCTGCAACCTTTCATATCCAAAGAGCCATTTAGCCCCGAATCCGAATAAAGTAAAAGTCATTTAGGGCCACAAAATAAGACTGTTTAATATATATTTGATATGACCAATTATTTATTTTTATTTTTTATTTTTTTAAATAAGCACCTGTTATCATCTTAAACAACGAACATTTGATTTGCTTTTCTAACTTAAAGACAATGAAAACCACAAAAAAATGTAATAATATATATTTCTGTTGCTTTTGATGTCATTCTGTCAAGACAAATCAATGTAGATATTCTTTATAAAAAAACAATACAGGTTCTAAGACTGGTATTTATTCTTAGAGTATATTATTATCTAATACCTTGGCTATTAAGAGTCATTAAAGAGGGTCTAAAGAGCCATGTGTGGCTCCGGCGCTGCAGGTTACAGACCCCTGGTTTAGAGCCACAGCAGAAAAGGGGAGTGGAAAATCACTGGGGAGTTGCGGCCTTGTTGTTAGGGCATCCTGAGGTTCTGGGTTCGAGCCCCACTCCCAATGACTGCCATTCTGGGTCCCTGAGCAAGACCCTAAACCCCACAGTGCTCCCCGGGTGCCGCACAATGGCATTTCACTGCTCCCCAAGGGGATTGGTTAAATGCAGAAGGTTCATTTTGTTGCTCTGTACTTGTGACATTGTAATGACAATAAAAGCTGGGAAAAAAACAAGACTAATCCCATACATCATCTGAAATGCACGTGCAAGTGAAATATGGTGGTAGTAGTAGTAGCATTATGTTATCAGGGTGCTATTCTTTGACTGAGATAGGGCTGAATATAAATATATATTTTAATATTAACATACTTTAAAGAATTCTTTAGTTTGTAAACTCGTTTTCCATTTTCTTTAAGATCAGAATTCTGCCCTAATTTGTGTATAAAAGCATAAAATCCCTCCAAAATGTATTAAAGTTTGTTTGCACCATGTCAAAAAAAAAAAAAAAACTAGATGAGATAACGATACACAACAACTTTACCTTTGAAGTTGGCTAGATATGCTTTATGAGTGATCAAGATAATTTGATTTACAAGTTGTTTTCAATCAAACTAAGACGGTAGCTCTTTATTACAGTGTTTCTATTAAAACATTTAAAAATATATTGTCCTTGTGCCTCTCCTTCCCTAACTTGACCTTTACAGCAGATGCTTCCACACAGTTTAATAAGACGCCGACAAAGAAGAGTGACACATTTAGAAAGCCAAATCTGCTGGGAAACAACACAAAAAATATAGCATGTTTCACCTAATCAAGAAAGAGAAGGAGAAGGAGAAGGAGGTGGGCAAAAAGGAAAAGAAAGAGAAGAAGGAGAAAAAAGAACGGATGTCTCAGTCAGAGTTAAAAAGTCTGGAGGAGATAAGCATACGCAGAGGCTTCTTCCATGTGAACCGAGGGAGCACCAAGAGGCAATCTAGGAGCAAGCTGGAGATCTCTAACCCAATTCCAATAAAAGTAGCGAGGGACACGGACATTTGCCTGACAAATGTGGAGACGGTTCCTCAGCCCAACAATCTGGAGCCAGATAAAGGGCAAACTTCTCCAAGTACATCTAGTGAAAATGTGATTGCTAATGAACTGGGACCTCAACGCTGCTCTGTGAAGGAGAGAGCTGCTAAATTTGGGGAGCTGGCTAAGATCAATGCAGCAGCAGGTCAGAAGCAAGTAACCATGAGTCAGAAGAGCAAAGATGGCGGTACCTCCATTCTCTCAGCTCAGGACAGGAGTACGGTTAATTCAGCATCCTACCCCAACCCAAAAGGAATTGTTAAGGTACACATTCCTGAGGTC